GGGAAGGTAGTCACATCATGTTCCTGCACTATCTAGCGATGGGAAGGTAGTCACATCACGTTCCTGCACTATCTAGCCATGGGGAAGGTAGTCACATCATGTTCTTGCACTATCTAGCCATGGGGAAGGTAGTCACATCATGTTCCTGCACTATCTAGCAATGGGGAGGGTAGTCACATCATGTTCCTGCACTATCTAGCAGTGGGGAGGGTAGTCACGTCACATGTTACTGGACTATCTAGCGATGGGGAGGGTAGTCACGTCACATGTTCCTGCACTATCTAGCGATGGGGAAGGTAGTCACATCACGTTACTGGCTTGCAGCTGGGTCTACCTCTGCACACCAAGCAAATGCATGCGCTATATTACTGGGGTTGCAGTTTAAGTGTTGCTTGAGCCTTTCATTGTAGTGGCAAAGGCATTGATAATAGCCTTGGTGCTTTTTAAACTTAACTTTTAATTTTGACTTAGGAGGTCAAATGCCTTTTTTTTTTTTTTTTTTTTTTTTTTTTAACAGATGATATCCTTTCTTAAGAAAATTCACCATTTTCATTCCATCTTCTTAGTTTTTCAAAGGGCTGGCTTCTTCGGGTGCTTGGGCTTGCTTTGATGAATTCAATCGAATTGAGCTGGAAGTGTTATCAGTGGTGGCACAGCAGATTCTTTGCATTCAGAGAGCCATTCAACAGAAACTGGATGTCTTCATTTTTGAAGGGACAGAACTTAAGCTCAACCCAAACTGTTTTGTAGCTATTACCATGAATCCTGGCTATGCAGGACGTTCTGAACTGCCAGACAACCTCAAGGTAATTTTTTTTAAAGAGTCTAAGATTGTTAATAAAACATAATGGCACAATCCATTTAAAATGTTATAAATCCCTCCACATATTTTGTCGTTTCCTTTTTCTCACTTCCATTTGGTATAAGGTAGACCTCCAAAACCTTATTTACTTGGCGATACAGGGGCTTGGTATCAGACATACTACACACTCCACCATCGAACTGCCTCACGAGGCCACTTTTACTTTTATCTTGACACAATCTGAATTGCCAAGTCTGGCGTTGAACTTGTCATCTCATGAATAGGCAATATTATGCATGTATGCTACCGTGCCCAGCTTTCAAAAGCATTTTTAGAAATCCCAAACTAGCAAGAACATAAAAATATTTAACTACTGCTGAAAAAAATAGTTTATAAATAGATGTTGCTTTTAAGGAATAAACTTTACTGTCGATATCTTTTGATCCTGTGTCTGTTGCTTAGCTTTAAACATGTCTTCTTTTATGTAAGTAATATATTTTGTTTATTATATGCCTCAGGTTCTTTTTAGAACAGTAGCTATGATGGTTCCAAACTATGCCCTCATAGCAGAAATCTCCCTCTACTCCTATGGATTTTTGAATGCAAAACCTCTGTCTGTGAAAATAGTAATGACCTACAGGCTTTGCTCGGAACAGCTGTCATCACAGTTTCATTATGACTATGGAATGCGAGCAGTGAAAGCCGTTTTAGTGGCAGCTGGAAATCTAAAATTAAAATACCCCCTTGAAAATGAGGATATACTGGTAAGCATTAATTAAGAATGTGCATTATGAAAGCCTCAGCAGAAAGACAGCTTCTCTAGTGAGATCAACCAGGAAAGAGAGTTGCTGCTCTAGGTCTTTTAGGTAAGATTGAGAATGTAATATTAGGCTTATTATTGTACTTTATACAAAGTATAAAGGCCTTTGGTTTGGTAAGCACAGGGTTAGTTTTCACTATGGAGATTCTATGAGCAATTTAAGATAAACTGACCTCTGGCTAAGGGCGTATGTACAGTGAACATACAAGTACAGGCGATTAAATTACATCATCCTTTTTGTGATTTTTAGCTCCTTCGATCAATCAAAGATGTAAATGAGCCAAAGTTCCTATCACATGACATACCTTTATTTAATGGAATAACTAGTGACTTATTTCCTGGTATTAAGCTTCCTGAAGCTGACTACAAGGTAAGTAAACACATAAGAATGACTTACTCTGTACAATAAATTTAACTGATGGCTCAGTTATTTACAAACCTTTATTAAATTGGGGACCTTATTCTGTTTGGATGTTCTTATAAAGGAAGTTTGTAGACATTTCTTATTTTTCAAAAAAAAAAATTGGAAGAGTTTGAAAAGGATTGATATTAGTTCTTTAAAGATTTACCAAAACCCCTGTGATTATTTTAACTATTAAAATATACAAAATTCAAAATAAGAAAAAAAAAATAAAAATAAAAAGATACTTGATAGGATTTTATTTTAAATCTGTTAAGGCTTAGTTTGTAGCTTAATATACGGTCCATTTTGTAAAAATTTTCATCCACTTAAGAATTAGGTCTATTAGCTTTACTTAGACCGAAGTATAATTCAAGTTTGTTTCTCTATTGATCTGATGTCTGGTTGTCTGGTGAGTGCTGAGAGTAGACTACTAACTGTCACTGTCTTGTAGTTCATGTCTCCTTTAGAGCCTTAGTGTTTGCTGTGTATCATTAAGTGCCCAGGGCTGGGTGTATATTTATAACTGCCTTGGTTTTTTGTTTTGTTTTATTTTGTTTTGTTTTGTTGTTGAAAAACTGTCCTCTTTGTCATTGTTGAAGACTTATTTCTAATTTTTTTGTAGCATTCAGCTTAAAGCTGATTTTGTCTTTTTACTATTTGTAAATATTCATTCATAAATAAGTATATCTTCCTCTGCTCTTTCTCTATTTTTATTTTTATGGCATATCTTTTCTCATCCCTTTGGTTTTGATCTGTGAGCACTCTATAAGATGAAACAAGCAGCAAATATTTTGGTCTTGTGTTTGTTTAATCAATTCAGTCATTTTATGCATTCTTATTAGAGGCTATAATCCATTTACACTCAAAGTAATTAGAAATTTTTAAATTCTGTGTGCCCCCCCTTCTGTGAGTGTGTGTGTGCACATGCAGCCACAGCTCTTGTGTAGAGGCTCCAACATGTGTTTCTCAGGGACTCACTCAAGTTCTCAAGTTCTTAGGCTTGGTCCGGTGGCAGGTGTCTTTATCTACTGGGCCAGCCCCAAGTTAATTATTGATATGTAAGGAGTAACTAATGTTATTTGTTGTTTCCTGATTGCACATCTGTTTTTTTTTTGTTGTTGTTGTTTGTTTGTTTTTTCCCTAGTTTCCTTTGTTGTTTGAAAGCTTCCTGGAATATGCTTTCCTGAGATTTGCATAAAACTTATTTATAGCTCGCTTTTAAAAGTTGATAGCAACTTTAACATTTACTTAACAGCTAATATCTGCATATAAGCAAATACATACCATATTTGTCTTTCTAGGTTGGGATACCTCACTCAAGATAATTTTTTTTCTAGTTCCATTTATTTACCTGTAATTTCATGATTTCATTTATTAAAAATGACGGTTAATACTTCATTGTGTAAATGTACTCTCATTTTCCTGATGAGGAACATCTAGGTTGTTTCCATTTTCTGAATATTACAAATAGAGCATCAATAAACATGGTTGAATAAATGTCTCTGTGGTAGGATGAAGCATCTTTGGGGATATGCCCAACAGTGATGTAGCTGGATCGTGGGGTATACTTACTCTTACCAGTTTCTTTCTTCCTTGTTTTATATGCTATACAGCTATATTTAGGACCTTTCCTCCACTAGGAGTTTACTGGGGGAGGTGTGTGCAGGTTTGAGACAAAGTCTCACAATGTATCACTGGCTGGTTGGGATCTCACCATGTAGAACAGATAGACTGGCCTAAAACTCAGATATGTACCGGTTTTTGCTCCCAAGTGCTGGGATTAAAGGTGTACATAACATTAAAGGGGCTACTAAAGGGGCCTTTAAAAGAGTTGTAGTGAACTCCTGTTGTGTTGAACAATTAAAAAAAAAACAGAGCTGTAGTGATGCTTGCCCAGTATCTTGTCAGGGTTTCTACTGATGTGATGAAACACCATGACCAAAATCAACTTGGGGAAGAAAGCATTTGTTTGTTTGAGACAGTGTTTCTCTGTGTAGCCCTGTCTGTACTGGAACTCACTCTCTAGACAAGGCTGACCTCAAACTCAGATCTGCCTACCTCTGCCTCTTGAGTGCTGGGATTAAAGGCAGGAGCTATCACCCAGCTGGAAATGATTAATTTACACTTCAATATCACAGTTCTTAGTCAAAAGAAGTCAGGACAGGAACTCAAGCAGGGCAGGCACTTGGAGGCAGGGGCTGATGCAGAGGCCATGAAGGGTGCTGCCTACTGTCTTACTTTCTATGGCTTGCTCAGCCTGTTTTCTTATAGAACTCAGGACCACCAGCTGAGGGGTGACACCATCTACAATGGGCTGGGCCATTTAAGAAAATGCCTTACAGGCTTACCTGCTGCCTGATGTTATTTTCTCAATTGAGGTTCCCTTCTTTCAGATGACTGTAGCTTGTGTCAAATTGAGTTGACGTAAAATTAGCCAAGACACCCAGGAAAGACTAATCCATTTCTGAACTTAAATTCTATCAGAATGACTTGTATCTACAATGCCACACCCAACTGGCTCTTAAATTTTTAATGATTTTTTTTTTAGCCTTTCTGCTTATTCCTGGTTGCTATGGTATGAAGGATTATCTAGCATATTCTTTTGTATCTTAACCAAAAATGGAATTTTGGCAAAGAATTGTTTTTATTTATCTTTTATTTATCAAAGAATTGTTTTTATTAATTGTTTTTATTTTATCATAGCATCCAATGCTAGGATGCTATGATCATTAATAACTTACATTGTTATATTAATTTATTTATATTAATCTATTTATTCTTTTTAATTTGAAAACAATCTTTCTATATGACATGACTTATAATAACACTTTATAGAAACACATTTCACTTTTATTTTATTTCAGGAATTTTTGGAATGTGCACATGAAACCTGCCGAGAACATAATCTTCAGCCTGTTAAATTTTTTCTTGAAAAAATTATTCAGACATATGAAATGATGATTGTTCGACATGGGTGAGAATATTGATTATCTGCCATAGTTTGGTGTTACTTTAAATTAAAGTAAAGAACCAAAATAAGCAATAAAGTTTGTATATTAGGAAGGCTATGGAACAAAGAACTCCTCCCTCCTCAGTACCTTACAGCAAAAAACAAAGAACCTGGAGTCAGGTGCATACCTGTAAATCCAGATGGCTTGTGACCATCTGAGGATGGTCTTGAGATCCACACCAGGCTGGCCTATGTATGAAGATCCTGTCTCAGAAACTGAAATAAACACAGCTTACACTGTTGGTAACAATTCTGAAATCCACTTGGGCACATAATGGCCCCGTTTTCAGAGATGGATTTCCTGTGAAACTAACAGAGTTTAAGTTTCAGGGCCTCTTCCTTGTTGAGAGCCATCCAACAGCTATAAACATGTCATGTTTATTTTATAAGAGTGATAAGTAACTTATTTTATAAGGTTGATACATAATTTTGTATTCATAATTGTATGTATTATATATTTCATATATGTATATGTATACATAAAATATTTTTTCCTCTAAAAGATCTCTTAAATTGTGTAAACTTGAGGTTCTTTATAACATCTTAGACATAACTCTGCTTGATCTTTGTTTCCTGGGAGGGACTTTCTAATCAGCTGTTTTCCACAAGACTTGACTTAACCTTTGAATGATCTTCCTATTTTTGTCTTCTTTCCTCAACATGCATGAAGTAACAAGAAAGAAAAATGTTATTTTTGCTAACTGAAGAATGATTCTAGCCATTTTCTTCTTACAGAAAGTTAGGGTCTAATAATCACAATTTTTGAAAAGTCAAAGAATGACTTTGTATTATGTAAAATTTCAAACATACACTAAAATGAGGGAATAGTAACTCAAGCCTCACATAACCAGAGTTGAATACCTATATATTTTTTTTTAGGCCGGAGACATTAGGTAGAAATCAGTAGACATCTTCAGAAATTATAATCAGCTTTTATGTGTCTTAGCCTCTGTCTGCCCTAAGTACAGTTTATTATCATATTTCTCTAAACCCTAACTGTGCCCGGCTTAGTAGACTCCGCACTCCCAGCCCGTTTGCGTCAAGCCTTGTTTCCTACTGAAATGGTCGCTGTAGTCCTCCTTTCCTGCAGTTTTCACGTCTATGATTTCAGCTACCCACAGTCAATCAGCTGCAGCCTGGAAACACTAAGGGACAATTTCACATGTTGAGATAGAGAGAGCACTGTCATATAATCTTCTCAAAGTTTATTATTGTAATTATTCCACTTTATGACTAGCCATTGTTATTCTCTTACCGTGTCCAATTTATAACAACATTTATCATAGTTATTAATGTGCAGGGAAAACATGGTATTAGATATACTTGAGGAGCATCCATAGAGTATCTACTGGTGGACTAGAACGTAACTCCCAAAGGTTGGGGGACTTCTTCACTGAGAACCACATTAATCCTTTATAGAGTTTCGTAATGTAATAAAATAGCCCTGTTCTTGGCTTGATCCTTTATACCATTCTGAGTTTTCATTGTTGAAAGTTTTCTTTTTCTTTTTTTCTTGCTGCTGTGTATGAGAATCCTAAGGTTACTGAATTTCTGAACTCCCTCTATTCTCTTTCACACCCACTTGCAGAGAGACCTTTCCCTCACATCCTCTGTGCTCATTGTTTGAAATTCCTTATTAAATTCAGCCATATCTTTTCATTGTACCTACTAATGCTGTATTCACCACTCTTTCTCCCTTATTTAGGTATATTATTATCTGTCTTCCAAGTTATCTAAATGATTAAATTTATCAAATATTTTACCATTGTATAATAACAATTATCAATAATTTATCCTCTGGAGACTGTTAATTTGCCCTGGTTTCTAAGCCAATGTATTATATTTTGTTTTTCTTTTATTATGGCAAGAACATCTTCCCTAGGATGGGCTAAGCTACACTGTTATTTACAATGCAAAGGCTTATTTTTCACTCATGCTGTATGTCCATAGGTTATCAGGGAGATTCTGTTTCTCATAGTCATAAAGATTAGCCATATCTCAACATCATGGCTCATGGTCTTACTAGAGGGGTGACAGAACTCTGTCAGTTCCCTTACTGGCAATTACCTAACTTGTATGACTCATAGCCACCTGCAAGAGTGGCAAAGAGGTCTGTGTGACAGGAGGAGGTCTGGAAATCTTCGGCAAAGAGCACCTGTATCAATTGAAAGCTTAGAAACATGTAATCACTATATCAAATGAAAGCTTCTTCCCATATCTTGGTTTTTAATTTAAGAATATAGCTATAATAAAATTTCACTGCCATTTAGAGACATTTTATTATATTCTATCTTTGATAGTGTTATGACTGTGGAAAATTCAGTGTACACTTGATTGGTTTAGAAGTTAAATGTATTTTCATCATATCTGAGAAAACATTTTAGAAATTCAAAAATTATATATGGTGATTGCTACAGAGTAATGTTTTCTATGCTGGTATAAACACTTCATTTTTACCATCTCACTGTATAATCTGCCTTTCATAGTTTTATGTTGGTGGGAGAGCCTTTTGCTGCTAAGACAAAAGTTCTGCATGTGCTAGCTGACACTTTAAAGCTTATGAATGAACGCAACTATGGAGAGGAAGAAAAAGTCATGTATAGGACAGTAAACCCCAAATCAATTACTATGGGCCAACTCTTTGGGCAGTTTGATCCAGTGTCTCATGAGGTAATCTCCAAGATTATATTCTTTCCTATAGACAATGCATATTAAATCAAGAAATTCGAAGCATTTCTATGTTTTTAAAGATAAATACAACTTATTTTATAAAAGAAGCTTTTTAGCTTTTTCTTTTTTTCCTCAGTGGACCGATGGTATTGTGGCAAATACATTTAGAGAATTTGCCTTAGCCGAATCACCTGACCGGAAATGGGTTGTATTTGATGGTCCTATTGACACCTTGTGGATAGAAAGTATGAATACAGTATTGGATGATAATAAAAAGGTAAATCACTATTATTTGAAGAAGAACTTGTTCAGACATAATTAAGAACTTCTGGGATTATATATTTAAGCTAAAATATGTAAAAAATATATACATTTATGAATATCTTCAGTAAAGACTATGCTATAATAAGTTTTTTGTTTTTAATAGAATAAAAGTGCATTAAAGCTATTGAGAAGTTGTATTAAAGCTACTGAGTTAACATTATTGTGTTGGAGGACAGGAGCCTACTGCAGAGGACCTCTGAAAGACTCTACCTAGCAGTGTATCAAAGCAGATATTAAGACTCATAACCAAACCTTCGGCAGAATGCAGGGAATCAAAAAAAAAGGGGGGGGAGTAGTTAATATGACCTGGCAAGGACACTAGTTCCACAAGGACCAAATACAAATATATCTGGGCACAGGGATCTTTTATGAGACTGTTTCTCCAAACAAGGACCATGAATGGGTGCAACCTAGAACCTCTGCTCAGATGAAGCCCTTGGTAGCTCAGTATCCAAGTGGGTCCCCTAATGAAGGGAACAGGGACTGTTTCTGACATGAACTCAATGGTAGGCTCTTTGACCTCCTCCCTCCACCCCCAGGGGAGGAGCAGCCCTGCTAGGCCACAGAGGAGGACTTTGCAGCCAGTCCTGAAGAGACCTGATAAACCAGTATCAGATGAAAGGGGAGGAGGTCCTCCCCTATCAGTGGACTTGGAAAGGGGCAGGGAGGAGATGAGGGTGGGAGGGTAGGATTGGGAGGGAATAAGGGGGCAGGATACAGCAGGGATACAGAGTTAACAAACTGTAACTAATATTAAAAAATAAAAATTAAAAAAAACAGCACAGAATGTTCAAGAAAGAAGTACAGTGTACTCTACTTCTGACATTATGATTTGACATTTCAGTATCACTTAATTTCCAGTCACCTAAAATATGTGTATGACTTCTAGTTCATGTTTAGCATTTAACTGTAGCTCATGAACCATGATCTTCCACAGTGTAATTTGTAAATTTCTATCAGGTAGAAAGAGATAGTCCCAAGGATATTTAATCATGTAAGATGTTTAATTCATCATACCTCTTTTTCCTACTCCTAATCCTGCCCCTCTTACTCTCTAGCTACAAGCATACAGCTTATGAGTGCTTTGGGAATCAGTTCTACTATGCTAGCGATTTCCTCATTAATTGGTTATAAATCTTTCTGATTCCTAGAAATAGTCATAATTGCTGCCCATACTTCTCATTTTAGCTTTGCTCAGGCTCTTGTCCAGGTTTAATATTATGATCTGAATATGTCCCAGTATCCATGGAGATGTTGTGGCTCTGTGTTTCTGATTGTTGAAGGACATTCATTTGCTGGTTATTTTTGTGTCTATTGTGCATGTGTTCTTTTAGTGCAATATGAAGAACATTCTGTGCCCTCTAGAAAGGAAAGAACTAGCTTGAGATCAGTGTCAGCCAAGTTTTTGCCATGAGTGAATTTATTTATTTTATTTATGTGTGTGTGTATGTGTTGGAAATTGAAATCAGGACCTTGTACGAGGTAAACAGGTTCTCAACCACTGAGCTACACTTCCAGTCCATTCTGTATTTTTCCTTAAATTCTGACTCAGGCAGACATAAACTACAAATGCTGTTATGTCTGTGTATTTGTGACAGAGAAATACTTGTAAGTTCTATAAATTTGAGACATATTCCTTGAAGCATGTCAATAAATTACATTACAATATTTGTAAAAACAAACAAACAAACAAACATTATTGTGTTGGTCACTGTTCTGTTGCTGTGAATAGACAGTATGACCAAGGCAATTCTTTTTTTTTTTAATTTTATTTTTTTCTTATCAGTTACATTTTATTAACTCTGTATCCCAGCTGTATCCCGCTTCCTCATTCCCTCCCAAACCAAGGCAATTCTTATGAAAGAAAGTGGACTTGCTTACGGTTTCAGAGGGCTAGTCCATCATCATCATGGCAGAGAGCATGCAGGCAAGCAGGCTCTGGAACAGGAGCTGAGAGCTATACATAAAAATAAGTAATATCTTAAGTCATAAAGAGGATTAGTAGATAAATATCCATGAATCTACCACCCAATTACAATTAATTTTTTTTAACTTTTATTAAGTACACTTTATTCACTTTGTATCCTCCCATAAACCTCTCCTTCCTCCCCTCCTAATCCCACTTTTCCTCCCTCTTCTGCACGCATGCCCCTCCCCAAGTCCACTGATAGGGGAGGTCCTCCTCTCCTTCCTTCTGATCCTAGTTTATCAGATCTCATCAGGAGTGGCTGCATTGTCATCTTCTGTGGCCTGGTAAGGCTGCTTCCCCCTCAGGGGGAGGTGATCAAAGAACAGGCCAATCAGTTTATGTAAGAGGCAGTCCCTCTTCCCATCACTATGTAACCCTCTTGGACACTAAACTGCCATGGGCTACATCTGTGCAGGGTTTCTAGGTTATCTCCATGCATGGTCTTTGTGTGGAGTATCAGTCTCAGGAAAGACCCCTGTGCTCAGATTTTTTTGGTTCTGTTGCTCTCCTTGTGGAGTTCCTGTCCTCTCCAGATCTTACTGTTTCCCACTTGGCGACTGAATCACTGGGCCTTTCTTATGTTAAGCAAGTACTCTACCATTAGGCCATTTCCCCCACCCAATTTATTTTCATATGTATATGAAATGACTATCCTATTAAATAGTAATTTAATTTCATTAGTACTCAGATTTATTTTTAAGTACCTTTTCATTTTTGTCATTATATTTTTCCTTATTTTCACTCAGTAATATTGATTACACTGAGAGTAGAAAATAAACAGACAAGTGGTGATTATTTGGAAGGAGGAATTAATCAGTAGAATGAAATATAGGAATTTAAACTCAAAACAGAGGGGTGCTCTTTCATTAGATGAAAGGGGGAGTATGGTCAGAAAGTTTGGATATACAAAGTTGGTGGTGAGAAATAAAAGAGTCTTTCTGACAACTTGTCTTCAAGAAGCAATGAGCCCCAGTTCTTCTCAGAGAAAGAAATGAAGCAGTTGTAACTAGCCATGGTGGGAACTGGGAAGCAGGTCTCCTCAGCAGTGCTTCCCAGCCTGTGAATTGCGCATCAGGTACCCTGCATGGTAGACATTTACATTATGATTCACAACAGTAAAAAATTACAGTCATGAAGTACCAACAAAATAATTTTGTGGTTGGGGTCATCATAATAGGGAACTGTATTAAAGGGTCACAGCATTAGGAAGGTTGAGGACACTGGTTTAGGGAACCATAGACACAAATGTGTGTAGTTCTGAAGACCTGGTTAAATTAAAAGCCTTGAATCACCATTCATTCTACCAGGGGCTGCCTTTGTGAGATATTCTCTACAAATAAGCAGCCTGGGCCTAGGTGGAGGTAATGTTGCCATGGTTAATACTGTAAGTACACAGAGACTTTAAAGATAATGGCAGGAGAATAGTAGCTCTGAATACAAGGCAGAACTCACTTTAGAAAGGAAATAAAACCAGCCACGATGAGAAATTCCTTACAAAGATGAAGAGAAAGTGTATGAGGGAGGAAGATCTGGTATGAGTGGAAGAAGGGGAAACCACAATCAGGCTTTATTATGTGAGAAAAAAAAATCCATTCTCTATAAAAAGAGAAAAAAGTGTATTTGGTGTCAGTGGGCAGGAGAGCTGGATGGGTTGGGAGCTGCGGGCAGGGCAGAGATGCTTGAATGTAACAGTTTAGAATCACGTAGTTTTCAAGAGATAAGTTTCCATATGCATGAAATGTATGTCTGGAGCAAAGTAAGTAAAAATAAGCAAAGACAGGTTGGTCAGGAACAGTAGATGTTATTGTTTTGAAGTGCTCGTCCTCATGAACACTGGCCCAGCCTGGAGTTTGAACAAGACCGGGCCAGGCGCTGAGTGCTTTGATGAGAAGAAAATCCTCCCGGCCTAGCAGGTGATAGCTAACGCAGGGATTGCCAGATTGCTGACTTGTACTTGACGGTGAGGTAGAAGTTGGTAATACCAAAACATGGTGGAGTGACGGTGGTATTGGTGTCATATCCTAACTTGGTAACAAGTAGGAGAATGTTTGCCGATATAAGCTGATCTACACTTAAAGCGTTCTAGAGGAGTGCTCTCAAGTAGAACTTCCTACAGTTCTGGAAATGTCTATGCTGTCAGTCAGCCAGCTGTCAGGCACATCTGGCTTGTTAACATTTTGTTTGCAGAATGGCTTACTGTAGTGGAAGAACTGAACTTGGAGTGGGAGGTAGCTCAGAAGTAGAGTGCTCTCCCCGCATGCAAAAAGCCCTCACTTCATCTTTGGCAGCAAGAAAATAAAAGTGTTAAAGAACTGAACTTTAAACTTTATTTAATTTTACATCGGTAAGTTAAATAAATAGCTCTGCATGGCTAGTGGCTACTATACTGCAGAACACAACTTTTTGACACTCTATTTTATACATAAGGAATTGAATCCAAAAATGTTAGGTATTTCGTTGTTGACCCATGACTAGACTGGGTAAACCTGAGTCTAGAGTGAAGATTGTAGGGGCACAGAGGAAACGAGGGAAAAGTGGAAAGATTTTGTAGTGAAATTAATTTGATATATGACTCATTGATAATAACAGTTACTAATATTACTAAAATTTAATTATCTCTAAGCCAAGGCACTTAAGATAGGATAGTTTTTATAATGAGAAAGAAAAGAATTTGAGAGAAAAGATGGAATCCCTAAATTCAAGTTTTGAACATATTGATAAAAGAAAAGATGTTTTAGATTAAAGAAGTTAAGGAGATATCATAAACACAGGGATAGACTAGGAATTTTTTCTGGCATCTATTCATATTCATGGCCTTATATCAAGCACATACTTTATTTATAAACAGATAAATTCTGTCTAAATTTTAAAATGTTTGCCTTTAGCTTTGCCTTATGAGTGGAGAAATCATTCAAATGTCCCCTCAAATGAGCCTCATCTTTGAAACAATGGACCTTTCACAGGCTTCGGTAAGCTCTTAATGTAATTATAATTTAATATAGCATTTTGTGTGCTTGTTTATTTATTCATTAACTGAATAAAAATATTTTATTTTGTATCCTAAAATGGGTTCAACACTGGGGAGAGACAGATGAAAAGATGAGAAGTGTGCTAATAAATAATCCAAATATACGGTTACATATATGTGCTCTAAGAGAATGGAAGGAATTGAGTATCCATGGGGGAAACAGGAAGAAAAAGACCTTAGAAGATGTTTGTGTTTTTTCAGAAGATTCAAGACTTCCTCAAGAAGTCTTGGGCATTTCAAATCATAACTGGATGATGTATGACCATGAAGAGGTATTAAGATGGCCAAGGACCTAACTGAAAATAGTTTTCTGTATGGGGAACATGCAGTACATGTCAGAGTTAGAAACAGGCAGAACTTAGATTTTGAAAGGACTTATAAGTGCTAGCTATAATTGTCAGGAACCACTCATGGGAAAGCAGTCTTTTTTGGAAATGGAAAAAGGAAATCTGTGCTTTTTTTCCAGCCAGCCACTGTGAGCCGTTGTGGCATGATTTATTTGGAACCTTCACAGTTAGGATGGGAACCACTTGTGGCTTCATGGTTGAATTCACTGAAACCACCTCTAAGTGAAACAGAACATCAAACTCTGCTGAAGGAGCTTTTCCAGTGGCTAGTACCACCGTCTTTAGTATTCCGTAGGAAAAAATGCAAGGTATCATTCTCTTACTCTGATTTCTGACAATCTGTGCAACTCAAATAAAATAGATACACATAGTGCTAGAATGAATAACTAAAGCCAGTTTTTCTTTACCTTTGTTTTTCTCTCTCTCTCTTTCTCTCTCTCTCTCTCTATATGTAACCGAGAATGACCTTGAACTTCTGATCCTCCCGCCTCCACCTCCAAATTCTAGGATTACAAGCATGTTCCTTACATGCCCAGCCTTCTTCTGTTTTATATTGCTTAAATTACAAATAACTTAAGAAGAATATTTGTACCAAGCCATAGTTTCTAGACCTTTAAAAATTCCAAGTACTTCCTTTATTTAAAAAAATTTTAAGTGCTAGAGAGATGGCTTTGTGCTCAAGAATACTACTTGTAGAACTACTGTTGGTGAGGGCAGACATCCAATTCCCGGTGGCCATGATGAGCAGCTCACAGCTTTCTATTCCTCCAACTACAGAGGCTCTGATGCCCACCTACACTCGCATGCCCGTGCACACCCGCACTCACGCATGCACACGCACGCACACACACACACACGCTTTAATATAAATAGATTTTAAAATATTTCAGATGTGTCTTTATAAACATACCTGAGTATAATTCTATGAAGACTCTTAATGCTGCCTTATTTTTCCTACGGCTGCCGTTAACAAATTACTACAAATGTAATTTTTAAATTTAAATTTAAATTTAAATTTTTAAAATTTATTACAATTTATTCACTTTGTAACCCAGCTGTAGCCCATCTCTCATCCCCTCCCAATCCTGTCCTTCCTCCCTTTTCTCCTCCCATGCCCCTTCCCCAGTCCACTGATAGAGGACGTCCTCCTCCCCTTCTATCTGACCCTTGACTATCAGGTCTCAGCAGGACTGGCTGCATTGTCTTCCTCTGTGGCCTGGCAAGGCTGCTCCCCACTCAGGGGGAAGTGATCAAGGAGCCAGCAACTAAGTTCATGTCAGAGACAGCCCCTGTTCCCCCAAATATGGTATCTTAAATAACAGAAATTTACTTTCTCATGGTTCTGGAGATCAGAGACTGGCATCAAGGTGTTAGCAGAAGTATGTTTCCTTAAAAATGCTAAGGAAGAATCTTCTCTTTATCTTCCAGATTCCGGTGGCTCCAGTTCTGTAGCTCATAGCTGCGTAACTCCAATCCCTTCTCCTAGCTTCTCAGACCTTGTTTCCGTGTCACTTCTCTGTGTCACTTCTCTGTGTCACTAGGGGGTCTTGGATTTCATGCCTGTTGGATTACATCTTAATTACATCTTCAAAGATCTTTTGCCATACATTCTTGGGATTATTGAATAGAAGGTTCTTTTAGAGGACAATCATTCAGTGGCAATTACCACACACGTGAATATACATACACAATTAGATATAAATAAATATATTGCTACAGAAAGATACTCAATGGCTTCCCATCCTAAAATATGATATGATATTAAGAAAAACTAGACAATGTCACATTACAAAGATTATTGTGACTTCATAGAGAAAACAAAAGTTCCTGGCAGTTTTATATCCCTAATACTATAGAAATAAAAATAAAAGTAAGCTCCATCTTTCCAGGTAATGGATGGTGGGTTTTCTTTTTATAGTTGTCATATTTTCTATATGTAGCCAGTTCTAAAATGCTGTTGGTTTCGTTCCTCCTTGGTAATATTGTTTATTTGTCTTTTCTCCATTCTTCTTTCTCCAGCCTTTTCCTTACCTCAGTCCTTCCTGTAGAGTGGCCTCAATTCTGACCTCATTTTCTGCCCGATTCATCCCAGTAGCGTTGTTCTAGTGCAGTCTACGTCCTACAAGTAAAATGAAGATTCCAAACACTCATCCATCCTGTTTACTCCCTACTTTAAAATCCTTTATTGGAGCCTTCTTCTATAGGGAACTTTAATACAGCCTGTAAGACTCTTGTCAGCTTCCCAGGTGTAGTTTTCTGTCATCCTGCCTTAACATCCCACAGAATCTTCTGAGTAATCTGTATAGGCTTGTATTATTATATAACTTTCCTGCCTTACACATCCTCCCCTACTCTGTTTACCTAACTTTTATTTCCCTTGAAATTTCAGTTCTGCTGCTTCTTCCTTAGGAAGGTCTTTTGTCATTTATTCTTCTTCAATTTCCCTGCAACTAATTCCTTGGCCTATTTCACCCCTGGCACTATAGTACCACCTCTGCTCTGATACTCCGCGGCTCCTTCACAGAGTTATCTCACTATACTGCCCTTCCTACTTTGTTTTAGAGTTGGTGTTTTTCAGGGATTGTGTCTCTCCCACCTCCACTGGCTTGCTCTATGGCTACGTAAATATAATATGCTTTTCATAAACATAGAATACATAACCAAATGAGTGGTTTAAGAGACTTCATTTCAGCTATTCTCTTCTAGAACCTGGTTACCATTGTCAGAGGATTTAGAATGAGAATACATTGTGTACAATTTTGCCATATAATAAGCCAAGCTAAAATTCCTTAAGAAATGTTTTTATTGTACCTTCAGTTTATTTTCTCTAAATTTAAATATTATAAAGAACATATTATTATGTTCTTACCAACTTTTATAAAATGAGACATTTACTTTCATTTGTTCTCTAAGATGGAAAATTTTAAAACATTTTATTATTTTTCTTTTGCAGGAACTCATTCCTACGAGTAACATCAATGCAGTTGTATCTCTCACACGCCTCTTTGAGGTACTGCTCTGTAATGTGCTGGAAAACGAGCCCACTAGCAAGCACACTCGTATTTGGATTATGGTTGGTTTTATATTTAAAGTGGCTTTAAATACAGAATAAAATATGGTTTTAGAAAATAGTATTTGTATTCAGAAAGACCTTTATAAGATTCAGAGCAGATTTTGATGCTCACTAGAGAATAGTTGAGGATACTAAGTTGGCTCAACCTGGTATTCTGATTCTAAAAACAGCCCTAAAGAAAACAAAGCATGTCAGTGCTGAAGCTGTGCTGCTCTTTATGAAATACCACATGTAGCTGGTTCCTCGACGAGGTGATGCAGTAATAAGCTCACTTGCTCTCAGTTAATTATGTCTTAGATAGAAACTAGCTACGAAAGGCTGGGAGAGGGTGGATACAGGCAGAACCCATGCAATACTTAGGGTCACATTAGTAGTCGTTCTTGTTAGCTAATGTCTGGAATGCAAAGACCAGAGATTATGGCAATAGTGAGCAGAAGTTACCGAAGGGACACAAAAGAAGACGTTTTTAAAAATTAATTAATTACAGTGTTTTCACTTTGTATCCTCGCTATAGCCCCCCTCCCTTGTCTCCTCCTAGTCCCACCCACCCTTCTTCTTCTCCCCCTATTCCTTTTTCCTAGTCCCCTGATAGGGGTGGACCTCCTCCCTTTCTATTTGACCCCAGTCTATTAGGTCTCATCAGGACTGGCTTCTTTGTTTTCCTCTGAGGCCTGGCAAGGCTGCACACCCCACCCCCAGGGGGAGGTCATCAAAAAGCCAGCACTGAGTTCATGTTAGAGACAGCCCATGCCCCGCTTACTAGGGAACATACTTGGAAACTGAGCAGCCTATGGGCTTCTTGTTAGCAGGGCATCTAGGTCCTCTCCATGTATGGTCCTTAGTTGGAGTATCCATTTCTGCAAGCCTCCTAGGCCAGGTTTTTTGGTTCTGTTTGTCTCCTGTGGATCTCCTTGTTCCCTCCAGGCCTTTCTAACTTCCTCTTCTTCCATAAGGTTTCTGGCACTCTGCCCAAAGTTTGGCTACAAGTCTCTGTATCTCCTTCAATACCCTGGTAGGTAGAGTCTTTCAGAGGTCCTCTATGGAAGGCTCCTATCCTGTTCCTTGTCTTCTCCTACTTCCAATGTCTATCCTGTTTGCCTTTCTGCATGAGGTTTCAGCCTCTTCCCTAGGGTCTTCTTTGTTTAGCTTCTTTAGGACTACAGATTTCAGTATGTTTATCCTATACTATATGACTAATATCCACTTATAAGTGAGTATATACCATATGTGTCTTTCTGCTTCTGGGTTACCTCACTCAGGATGACCTTTACTAGTTCCTACCATTTGCCTGCAAATTTCATGATTTCTTTGTTTTTAATTGCTGAGTAATATTTTGTTGTGGAAATGTACCACACTTTCTGTTGTTTCCAGTTTCTTGCTCTTACAAATAAAGCTGCTATGAACATAGTTGAGCCAATGTCCTTACTGAATGGTGGGGCATCTTTTGGGTATATGCTTTGGAGTGGTATAGCTGGATCTTGAGGTAGCACTATTCATAATTTTCTGAGAAAATGCCAGATTGATTTCCAAAGTGGTTGTGCAAGTTTACATTTCCACCAACAATGGAGGAGGGTTCCTCTTTCTCCACATCCTCTCCAGCACGTGTTGTTGCTTGAGTTTTTTATCTTAGCCATTCTGATGGGTGTAAGGTGAAATCTTAGGGTCATTTTGATTTGCATTTCCCTGATGACTAAGGATGTTGAGCATTTCTTTAAGTGTTTCTCTGCTGTTCGATGTTCTTCTATTGAGAATTCTGTTTAGCAATGTACCCCATTTTTAATTGGGTTATTTGATTTCTTGCTGTTTAACTTCTTAAGTTCTTTATATATTCTGGATATTAGCCCTCTATCAGATATAGGGTTGGTGAAGATCCTTTCCCAATATATAAGCTTTCATTTTATTCTGATGACAACACCCTTCACAATAGCCACAAAAAACATAAAGTACCTTGCTGTGAACCTAACCAAGCCAAGTCAAAGACTTGTATGAAAAAAATTTCCAGTCTCTGAAGAAAGAATTAGAAGAAGATATCAGAAGATGGAAAGAGCTCCCATGCTCATGGCTTGGCAGGATTAATATAGTAAAAATGGCCATCTTACCAAAAGCAATCTACAGATTCAATGCAATTCCCATAAAATTACCAACACAATTCTTTACAGACCTGGAAAGAAAAATTCTCAACTTCGTATGGAACAACAAGAAACCCAGAATTGCAAAAACAATTCTCTACAGTAAAAGATCTTCAGGATGTATCTCCATCCCTGATCTCAAGCTGTACTATAGAGCAACAATACTAAAAACTGCATGGTACTGGCATAGAAACAGACTGGTGGATCAATGGAATCAAATAGAAGACCCTGACATAAATCCACACATTTATGGACACCTGATTTTTGACAAAGATGCCAAATCCATTCAATGGAAAAAAGACAGCATCTTCAACAAATGGTGATGGTCTAACTGGAAGTCTACATGTAGAAAAATGCAAATAGATCCATACTCATCACCCTGCACAAAACTAAAGTCCAAGTGGATCAAAGACCTCAACATAAAACCAGACACACTAAACTGCTTAGAAGAAAAAGTGGGGGAGAGCCTTGAACTCATTGGCACAGGAGACAACTTCCTTAACAGAATACCAACAGCAACAATCAATAAATGGGACCTCATGAAACTGAAAAGCTTCTGTAAAGCAAAGGACACGGTCATCAGAACAAAATGGCTGCCTACAGATTGGGAAAGAATCTTCACCAACCCTATATCTGACAGAGGGCTAATATCCAGTATATATAAAGAACTAAAGAAGTTAAACAGCAAAAAATCAAGTAATCCAATTAAAAATGGGGTACAGAGCTAAACAGAGAATTCTCTGCAGAGGAATATCGAATGGCAGAGAAACACTTAAAGAAATGCTCAATCTCATTAGCCATCAGGGAAATGCAAATCAAAACGACCCTAAGATTTCACCTTACACCCATCAGAATGGCTAAGATAAAAAACTCAAATGACCACACATGCTGGAGAGGTTGTGGAGAAAGGGGAACCCTCCTCCACTGCTGGTGGGAATGTAAACTTGTACAACCACTCTGGAAAGCAATCTGGCACTTTCTCAAAGAACTAGGAATAGCGCTTCCTCAAGATCCAGCTATACCACTCCTAGGCATATATCCAAAAGATTCTATGATTTTTTTGAAAAATATTTTCTGGGCCTTGGAGAAGGGAATCTTCTTTTTCCTCTATTCCTATTATTCTTGGGTTTTGTCTTTTCATGTCTTGGATTTCTTGGATGATGTGTGTCAGGAATTTTTTAGATTTAACATTTTCTTTGATGGATTTATCGATTTCTTCCATTGTATCTTCCACACCTGAGATTCTTTTTTTCCATCTCTTGTAGTCTATTGGTTATGCTTACCTCTGTAGCTCCTGTTTTCTTCCCTAAGTTCTTCCTGTCCATGATTTCCTCCTTTTGGTTTTCTTTAATTTTTCCAATTTTATCTTCAGATCTTGAGCCATTTTGTTGATTTCCTTCACCTGTCTGAATGTATTTTCCTTCAATTCCTTCAACTGTTTGTTTGAACATTCCTCTGTTTCTTTTATTTCTTTCAGTGATTTAATTATTTCCTTTCTAAAGGCCACAAACTGTTTGGCTGCCTCTTCCTATATTTCTTTACAGATGGCCATAATCTGACTTTATCTTTCTCTGATTCTTGATGCATTTTGTTTCCTCTATTATCCTCTTCGTACGCATAGATATAAGGTCATCTTAAATTTCATTTATGCTGAGTTGTCCAGGGCTGCTTCCCCCTGAATAACTAGATTCTGGAGATGCCATATTGCTGTTTTTTGTTGGTTAGCTTTTACTCTGGCCTCTACCCATTTGGCTATTTTAAGTGTTGGGTGTTAGTTTCTGGTGCTTCCTGGGATCCTAGGGTGGGGAGAAACTCCTTGGCAGGAAGATGATTTTTCCTGAAGGAGGCCTCCTCAGCTTTTTGGGTATGGTCACTGAATGGCCAGTGTTTCTCCGGAATTGCCACAGCTCACCTTAGGCGTATAGACCTGAGTGGTAACTGTGGTCTTTGTCAGTCACGGGGGCTCTCCTCTCACCCGGAGAAGTCCTGAGACAACTGCCCTGCTACTGGGCTTCTTGCTCTGACTTCAGCGAGCAGCTGCTGTTGTTCTTACACTGTTTTCTAGGCACAGTCCTGGGAGTCCTGCAGTTTGGTCAGGTTAGTTAGGGATAACTGGTTGCCCCTTGGAGCAGTATCTGGAGGCTGATCTCGGGAATCCCAGGCTTCTGTAGGTCTGAGGTTGGAGCTCTGTGCCTCAGTACCCAAGAGGTAATCAGTGGCAGGTGAGCACAGCTCTCATGCTGCAGCAGGAGTCTAGAGCCTGGAGTGTGTGGGGACCCAGAAACTTTTCTGGAGCTGAGTGTCCTGAGATGGGACCAGATGTTTCCCCCCCAACATGGGGTTTCCTCCCAGCAGGGAAACCCAGTCAGTGGTGTTTTGGGGTGCACAGTTGCGTCTGAAGTGGCAAGTACAGCGCACAGGCACAGGTGAGTGGTGGCTCCAAGCTGGTGACTGGGCGCCTGCAGGGACTCAGGCACTTTTCCTCTGAGAGCTTTCCGCGCGCGCGCGCGGGTGTGTGTGTGTGTGTGTGGGGGGGGGGGGGGGGGGGGGGGTCAGCTGAGCGCTCCAAGCTCGGACCTGCTGTTTCCCTTACTGTGGGGTTTTCTCCCAACAGGGAAAGCCAATCTCTGGTGCGCTACGGTGCACAGTTCTGTCTGGGACGGAGAGTGGGGCACGCAACAGGTCTGTGTGCTCGTTGCTGGTGCCTGCTCTGGGCTGGCGGCTGTGTGCCTGCTGGTCTCTGGGACCTTTTCCAAGGATTGACTGGGTGACCTGGGGTCGGTCCCATTTGCTTCCTTCCCTGTGGGATTTTCTTGAGACTGGAAATCCCAGTCTCTGGTGTTTTGGTGCCCACAGTTCAGCCTGGGAAGGTGATCAGGACACGCAGGCATGTGGCTCTGGTCTGGCGACCGAGTGCCTGCCGGGACATGGGAACTCTTCCCAGTTTTAACTGGATGACTTGAGAATGGACCCAGTTGCTTCCCACACTGTGGGGTTTCCTCTTACCTGGGAATCACAATCGCTGGTGTTTTAGGGTCCAGAGTTCAGTCTCTTAGTCACTGCTGACACTGCTGTCCTGCTTCTCAGACAGTGTCCTCTCGGCACCACCATCTTGGATTGCTGGTGTTTAACTTCTTGAATTCTTTATATATACTGAATATTAGCCCCCTGTCAGATATAGGGTTGGTGAAGATCTTTTCCCAGTCTGTAGGCTGTTGTTTTTTTCTGACCACAGTGTCCTTTGCTTTACAGAAGTTTTTCAGTTTCATGAGGTCCCATTTATTGTGATCTTAGAGCATGCGCTATTGGTGTTTTGTTCAGGAAGTTGTCTCTTGTGCCAATGAGGTCAAGGCTCTTCCCCACTTTTTCCTCTAACAGATTTAGTGTGTCTGGTTTTATGTTGAGGTCTTTGCTCCACCTGGACTTTACTTTTGTGCACGGTAACGAATATGGATCTATTTGCATTTTTCTGCATGTCCAGTTAGACCAGCACCATTTGTTGAAGATGTTATAAAAGAAGGAAATCTTTGTTCCCTGTCTATGCCTCACTCCAATCTACCAAATTGTCACAACATACTCTACCGTCCTTTTCTCTTCCATTCTGTGGCAGTAGCATTTCCCGCTTGTATTTTTTTTTCCACCTTGTTGCTACCAAACCAAAAACCCAAAGAGCAAGCAAGCAAACAAACAAACAAAAACCCAAGAACAACAAAACAAAACCTATCTTATAGACCAGGGTGATATCTCAGTGGGTAAAGGCACCTGCTGCCAGGTCTGCCTGTCTGTGAGTCACATGAGTAGAAAGGAAAGAGACAACTCCCACCAGTTGTCTTCTGGCCTCCACGAGTGTGTGTGCATACACACATCCCCCCACTTATACAATTAAGTAAATAAAATGTAATACGATTTTTACCTTAGACACTGTGTCAGCCACATCACCCCCAAGCTTTCCAGCCAACTATAACTTCCTCCTTTCCGCCTTATGTTGTGTGAAGCTTGTTTATCCGTCTTCCCTTATGTTAGAGCTATCTTTTTAGGATTACTTTTCACATTCTTCTACACATGCCATTGTTAGCTTTTATAAACTATTACAGGGATACTCTTCCTATGCATAATTTTGCATAGTTCCAGAAAAATTTTGTTCTCTTGATAAACCCAAACTCCCAACTTTATCAGGTGGTTCAGAATAGCTTCATGAAACATATGCAAATTGATACCTGATTGAAATTTTTGAGGGCAATGTTTTTGTTTTTTAGCCAGATAAGGCATGTGCGTTAAATAAAATTCAAAAGACAAAAGCATGGTTTCCATTTATACCAGTCTCGTAGCCACTCTTAAGGGCACTATTGTCAGTGCCCCACAAAGCCTTGTAATGACATTTTATGTATATACTTTTCCTGTGTGTATATTTTATATATGCCAATATACTGTATTTACTAATTTCCATCTCACTGGCAGTGTATTTTGATTTTTCCATATCAGCATTACAGAGTTACATCATTTTTCTCAATTATTTTATTTTTATATTAATTATAGTTTATTCCATTTGTATCCCAGCTGCAGCCCTCTACCTCATTCCCTCCCAATCCCACCTCCCTCCCTCAACTCCTTCCAAGCCCCTCTCCAAGTCCACTGGTTGAGAAGGTCCTCCTCCCCTTCCATCTGACCCTAGCTTATCAGGTCTCATCAGGACTGGCTACATTGTCCTCTCTGTGGCCTGACAAAGCTGCTCCCCACTCAGGAGGAAGTGGTCAAAGAGCCAGCCACTGAGTTCATGTCAGAGACAGTCTCTGTTCCCATTACTAAGGAACTCACTTGGATACTGAGCTGCCATGGGCTACATCTGAGCAGGGGTTCTAGGTTATATCCATGAATGGTTCTTGGTTGGAATATCAGTCTCAGAAAAGACCCCTGTGCCCAGATTTTTTGGTTCTTTTGCTCTCCTTGTGGAGCTCCTGTCCTCTTCAGGTCTTACCATCTCCCCCTTCTTTCATAAGATTCCCTGTACTCTGCCCAAAGTTTGGCTATGAGTCATAGCATCTGCTTTGATACACTGCTGGGTAGAGTCTTTCAGAGGCTCTCTGTGGTAGGCTCCTGTCCTGTTTCCTGTTTTCTCCTTCTTCCAATGTGCATCCCACTTGTCTTTCTGAGTGAGGATTGATCATCTTACCCAGGGTCCTCCTTCTTACTTGACTTCTTTAGGTGTACAGATTTTTGTAGGTTTATCCTATATTATATGTCTAGTGTCCACTTATGAGTGAGTATATACTGTGTGTGTCTTTCTCCTTCTGGGATACTTCACTCAGGGTGATCTTTTCTAGGTCCCACCATTTGCCTGCAAATTTCATGATTTCTTTGTTTTTAATTGCTGAGTAGTATTCCATTGTGTAAATGTACCACAATTTCTGTATCCATTCCTCCGATGAGGGACATCTGGGTTGTTTCCAGGTTCTGGCTATTATGAATAAAGATGCTATGAACATAGTTGAGCAAATGTCCTTGTTGTGTACTTGAGCATATTTTGGATATATGCCCAGGAGTGCTATAGCTGGATCTTGAGGAAGCACTGTCTATAATTGTCTGAGAAAGCGCCAGATTGATTTGAAAAGTGATTGTACAAGTTTACATTCCCACCAGCAGTGGAGGAGGGTTCCCCTTTCTCCTCTGTTTAGGAGTTACATCATTTTTATCTGATCTGTACACATCAGAGTATACAGCATACTGTAAATAACCAGAATTCCTGTTGGAGAAATAGTGATGTGATAAGTATTTTTATACATACATCATTTTTACTGGTAGGAAAATATTTGAGGATAAATTAAGTAGATGTCCTTAGGTCGTTTGGTAAAGGCATTTAAGTTTTCTTTTTATCACTATTGCCAAAAATGATTATGTATGTGATTTGGCTATACTCAGTTCTACTCTGTTTCTTTGCATGACATTTTCAACTAGTTTAAGCAAGCATTAATATATTATGTTTCTCCTAACTAATATATATGTATGTTTCTCCTAAACTTTCTTTAAAAAGTAATGAGTATAAGTTAATTTTTTCACCCACAGGCCTGCTTTGTATTCTCTCTGATTTGGTCAATTGGAGCAAGTTGTGATACAGATGGTCGCCTTGCTTTTGATGATTTCATAAGAACAATTGTAGCAGGGAAAAATGAAAAACAACCAATGCCAGTGTCTGTGGAAAAATGGGAATGCCCATTTGAAGAAAAGGGCCTGGTCTATGACTATATGTATGAGGTATGACCTAAAATGCATTTGAGATGAAGTGTGAGCATGCACACCCTGACTGAGCATGCACAGCACCTTCTGTCAGAGGTCAGGGTGCTGAGTCCCCCAGAACTTGCTGCCCCAGTCATAGTTCATGTTGTCACATGCAACTTTAGGGTACTTCTCCGCTCTGAGGGAATCTGTAACAGCCTTCTTCACAACAGAGAACATTCCATCAGCCATCTTATTCTGAGGGAATTCATAACAGCCTTCTTCACAACAGAGAACATTCCATCAGCCATCTTATTCACGCAAAGTACATTTTACAACCATAAGACTCACGTAGAGCTTTGGTTACAATCCTACCTAAATTATAGAAATCCAGAATCTATAAGAGGATTCAAACTTAACTAGCAGTGGAGAGCTAACTTCTTCACTGAAATCAAACAACATAGGATTTTAAGAATATAACCAGAAAGAGTTTTATCTTTATTAGTCATAGTAGAAAGTCAGTGAAACAATCTCTAAAAATGAACATCAAGAGACAGTAGCACAAGCATGTTTTCTTTTTTTTTCCTTGAGAATTTCATACATTTTTATTATATCTGTCTCCTATTCTCCCTTCTCCAATACCCTGAAAACTCAAAAGGCAAAAACAAAAGAAATTTTTCAAATGATCCAGACAATGATCTATGATCATCATATTTGGGATTTTGAATGAGTGAACTTATTTTTAAGTAAAAGGATGAATAGTAAGTAATAGGTAAATTATAGATAGATAGATAGATAGATAGATAGATAGATAGATAGATAGATAGATGATTGATAGATACATAGATAGATATGGATGGATAGATAAGTGATTGATACATATATACATGAACACATGAACAGATGATATAGAAAATTAGCAAAACATCCTCTACCTGGACATACATAACATCCAGCAGAAATCAGCCAGGGAGCATAGGCCCACATGCAGAGCTGGGTTCTCAGTGAGCTCAGACAGTACACGATAAATTCCCAATATAATGTGCATTACAGTGTCCCCCCCCCAACTTCATTTCTCCTCCTCTTCCTCCTCCTTCATTCCCTCCTCACTCCTGCTCCCCTTTATCTGCCTCCTTTTCCTTCAACAATGCACTATTCTTGTTCCCTTTCTGTACAAGCATGTTTTCTAAAAACTGAAAGTAAATATAAAAATATTCAGTTTTTTTTTAAATACGTACAACTGAGAAGGAGAAAATGGGAGTTGAGAAATATTTTCTTTTTCTTCTTCTCCTTCTCCTTCTCCTTCTCCTTCTCCTTCTCCTTCTCCTTCT